GGGGCAGCACTGAGTGGAGCTGCACAAATCCCTCCCAGGCTGGAGGGCGCAGCACGGGGTGGAGCTGCATTGACTCCTCCCGGGCGGCTGGGGGCAGGACTGAGTCCTCCCGGAGCGTCAGTGAAACCTCCCGGCCTGTAGGTGGCGGGGCTGGGTGGCGGTGCCGGTGAAGAAGAGGAAGCCCCTCATTCCCGTGGCGGTAGCAGGGTTGTTCTCAGGCTCGGGGCCTATCAGGAGGCGGCGGCGGAGATTGAGACACCGAGTGAGAGAGAGAGAGCGCGAGAGCTCGGTGGCGAGATGATGGCGGCTGTGCCGCCACCCCCTCCTGGGCCGCCCCCTCCTCCCCCACCTCCCGGACCGGGGACACCAGCGACGGCGAAAACCGGAGAGGAGAAGATGAAGGAAATGGAGGCCGAGATGGCGCTGTGAGTCCGCGGCGGCGGCTTCTCTTTCCCCCTTCCTCCCGCCACTGCAGTCCCTCCCTCATCCACCGCGGTCCTCCTTTGGCGCTGTCCTTGGAGGATTCCATGTCTCTGAGCAGGCGCATTGACTCCCCATCCCTCTGTAGTTTCCCCCCCTTGGCCACCTTTGGCGCTGTCGTTGGAGGACTTCCTGTCTCTGAGCAGGCGCGGTGACTCCCCATTCGCCCCCTCGCAGTTACCCCTCGGCCACCGCCGTTCTGTACGGGCGCTGTCGGTGGAGGCCTCCCTGTTTCTGAGCAGGCGCGATGATTCCCTAACAACTTGCATTCCCACCTTCCGCCACTGCGGTCCTCCTGTGGTGCTGTAGGCGGCGGATCGTTCGTGTCCCCTTTTGCCCCAACAGCATTATCAATGGCTCCCGTCCTGGCAATATCAGTTTGGAGAGGTGTAGACCGATGGAGTCAAGTCTGATATATAACCCATTTTCCGCTGTTGACAAAAGGGCGAATGGAGCAGGAGGTGAAGTTGTTTCTCACCCTGCCAACCCCGTTCCATAATCCCAAGCAAAAGCCACTGGGAGTGTTAATGGTAGGAGAGGAGCGATAGAGGAATGAAGAGTAGATGTTAATAGCAGAAAGTAGGTCAGCTGTGTTTGAGAGCAGACCCTTGCAAATGGGGGGATGGGAATTTGTATACTGCAATGGAAATTGCTTTCCAGTGGAGTGTGTGGGATGGAACGGTCAGCAGAACAGCGAGAGGGTGCACAAAATTGGCAGGCAGCTGGAAGGCTAGGGGTCAGAGTGGTTACCCCATCGAACTCCAGAGAAACCAGAGGAATAGTGATATTCAGCACCACCCACCCCCCTCTCAACATGTTTTGTTGACATGGGTTTGCTTTCAGAAAATTGTCAAAAAAAAAATTCTCCTTCTCTCCCCACTCCTCCTCCTCCTGGGTCCATTTCCCAATCCTCCTCAATCTGTGCCCCTCTGACGACCGACCCTCCTGCTCCTGGAGACCATGTGTTCATCAGCTCGGTCAAACTCCCTCCTCCCCACGGTGATCCTGAACAGCCTGATTCAATCTCCCCAATAACTTTCTCTGCTCCGAGGGGGGAATGGTCCCAGATCATCCCAGTCTCTCCCCAGGTGAACAGAAGCCCCCCCAAGGGAAACCTCCCCCTCAGCCTCTCCAAGGGGGAGAGGTGAGTGGATTCTCGGGAAGGTAAATGAGTGCGAGCGTGGGTGTCTCTCTCTGGAGTGTTTGTTCTCTTAACCCCGTGTGGGTCTTTTCGCTGGCAGGTTCGAGCAGGAGGTCCTGGGTGCGCCAGTATCCACTTCAGCCGTCACCACCATACCAGAAACTGTACCAGTGGCAATGATGCCAGTTCCTGTCGCACGGCCCATCATCGGAACAAACACCTATCGGCAGGTCAGTCTTGACAGGATGGCACAGTGTATCAGTGTGAGAGAGAGAGAGAGAGAGAGATCGTCGTATTCAGTCCCCCTCCTCGAGCCTGTCGCACAGGAACAGCGAGTGGCCATTCAGCCCCCCCTTCCTCAAGCCTGTCGCACAGGAACAGCGAGTGGCCATTCAGCCCCCCCTTCCTC